GATCCCAGAAGTGAGCCACAGACCAGGAAATAGCTTTAAGGGGTCCGGGAAGTGGACATCGGAATTCCCAGAAGGGGGTGATATGATCCCAGCAGTGGGACCACCAGGATGCAGGAAATGAGCCTCAGGCATCCCAGAGGCAGGTAACTGGGTTCCCGGAAGGAAACAAAGCCGCCGCCTTCCTCACCCAGAAACGGGAGAGATGCCTTTTCCAAGAGCGCAGTCCGGACAGGTAGATCTCCTGCAACACGGGGGCGCTGAGCTCCACTTCGGCCCCGTCCGAAGTCAGCGGGGGTCGGAAACCCACGGCCTGGTGTGCTTCGGCCATGTCACGCTAGACGCGTGGGAGGACAGAGGGTCATCCTCTAGGTCTCTAGCCCCTGCTCCCTCAGACCCAGGAGTCCAGGGCCCCAGCCTCGTCCTCCCGCTGACCCAGGAATACAGGACGCCCGCTTACCCTTCCTAAGCCCCTGAGGGATCTTGAAGATACCGCCCGAGACTCCGGTGTCGGGGGGACCTCTGTGAACACAGGCGGAAGGGATAACTCGAGTTAACCCCTTTTGCGGCTCTGCTGAGAACGTGGTGCGGGGACAGTGCCTCCCCGCAACATAGGACTTTCAAGATTCCGGGCGGTGGAGGCGGAAACCCTTCCAGGGTGAACTGAGAGATCTCGAGAAAAATATTAGCCCCAGACCCATTCGAAACGAACACCTGCCGGACGTTGTTCGTACTGTCCCCTCGATTTCCGCTTCCCATTCCAAGGCGGGGCTGAGGCGCGGGAGGTTGTCTATAAATTCATCCGTTCCGGGGTGGCCCGGCGTCCCCTTCTCCTTCCCCGCACGCCTCAGGGCTGGGGGGGATGGGGGAGGGAGCACCCTACTGCGCATGTCTCGCAGCCAGGGATGCTGAGGCTGTGAGCCGAGGCAAGCGTCGAGGACAAGGGATGCAGAGGCTCGCACGCTCGACCCAAGACACAGGCCCCCAGGCCCCGCAGGAACTCGGGCCCCTCCGGTCCGGTACTTACCACGCTGAGTCAGGAGTCCGCCGATCGAATCCTGGGAACCAAGCCGAAGCACACCTCCCGAACCCCCGATTTAGAGCGCTGGACCCGTCTCTCAGTGGCATATGTCCGAACCCAGAACGACGAGTCCACGACTTGGTCGACGGGCCTCCGGAGCTCCTGCTCGCCCCCCGACTATCCAATTTCTGTCTCGATTACCCCGATCTCTGGCTCGCGTGTGCCTCGCCGGGTATCCAAGTCCCTGGTTTTATCCCCGCCCCCTTCCAATCCGCGCGTTCTATCCCCGCCCCCTTCGAATCCCAGCGTCCAATCCCCTCCCTCCGTCCAATCCCTAGCCCAGTCTCTTTCTACTCCGCCTGATTCTCTACTGTTTGGCCTCCCGCGTTCTACGCAGCATCTCGCCTGCGAACCCCAGGTTCTTGGGCTCCCCACTCCGCTTTGTCTCTCAAGGAGCTCCCTCAGCTTGGAACTCACGGTCTACCTCTGGGTACACGTAAAATCACGCCCGTGGGGAATCACAGCCCTACCATCCAGGGAGGGAGAAGGGCTGTTTTGGGGTCCGGTCGGTACACCAAAACCGCCCACAAAACGTGCAGCTGCAGCGCATTGGATTCAAGTTAGACACTCAGAGGGACTTCCGTGAGGGAAAAGGTTCAAGGATAAAGGAGAATGTGTAGAGACTGGGCTCAGATTGGGAGGCTGAAATGGTCACGAAGAGAATGAACCCTCCTTTCATTCAACTCCGGACGTTAATATCCTTTGCCCATGCTGGCCCCGGTGTGCACCCCCACCCCCGGAACCAGCCCAGTCACAGCCGGAGCTGTGGGGGCGGGGAGGAGGCGATCTCTGGGTGAGCCCACATGGAGTCAGGGAAAAAGAAACTTGCAGTCGTGGCCTTAATATACAGATGGGTAACTGAAGCCAGGGGAGGCCCAGAGACGTGCCAGATGTCACCTAGGGAGCTGGGCCCCGCTATGGCCTCCTTGCCGCAGGCCAGGGTCCCCAAGACGACGCACAGTACTAGGGCCTCTCGTCGCCGCCGCCGCCGCCGGCGCCCATGGCTGTGGGGGTCCTGGGGCTCATGGCCAGCCTTCCCCGAGAGCTCCTTGGTGGAGGCAAAGCTGAGCCAGTAAACAATCTTTGGCAGGCGGCTCATCTGGCAGGTGCCCAGGGAACAGTGGCGCTGGCGGTGCTGGGGGACATAGTGCTCGAGCAGCCTGGGGGAGTGTGGGATACCGGGTTCAAAGGGAAGCCACTCAAGAAATGGGGCCCGGTGGGGTCAGGAGACCCAGATCTCTGAGCCCCGCGGGGTGGCTGGCGTGCTTGGATCTCATCCTCCCATTCTGTCGCGGCGGGAAACCCTGGCGCGAAAAGGGCACACGCCACTCGCGGCCTCGCCCTGTCCCTGCCGCCACCGACCTTTCTAACCTGCCCTCGGAGTCTGGGTCCCCCAAAACGTTGGAGGCCAGGAGCAACAGCAGGAGAGTGTGGGCAGTCATCGCGAGTTGGGTCGGGCAGATGCCCCAAACCCATCTGGTGCAGAGGCCTTTCCCGCGGTGGGATGAGGCTCTCCCAGGGCCTGCCCTCACTTCCCAAGCGGGGAAAACGGGCTCGAGCCTGAGGCCACACCACGCCAGGGCAGGATCAGAACCCGGATGGGTTCCCACCTCCGGCGCTTGACCACGGATACCTGCGCTTGACCACGGATGTCTCCACCCAGGCTACTCACACCGGGATGGTTATAAGCCTCAGGGAGGCGTGACCCGTTGAGGGCGGAGGGAAGAGGGGCGGGGCAGCTGACAAGTGGTGGCTCAGCAGCGGGATTCCAAGAAAGGAGTGTGTGCGTGTGGTGGGGGGAAGCTCTGGGCTCCTGAGTAGCGACGACCTCACCAGTCACCCCAGTCAGGGACTAGCACAGCAGGTGGAGAGGCTCCAGTCAAGGCCAGGGGACTTTCAGAGAGGGAACTGGGCAATGTGGGGCACGTGCAGACAAGAGCCACCACGGGATGGGGAGCAAAGGCAGTCTGAGTATGGGCCCCAGCTTAGCCAGCACCACCCCATCCTGGAGAAGCAGGTGCAGGCAAATGCGAGGTGCCTGCAAGCCTAGGGCTCCAGCTGTACTGCAGCAGGTGTACCAAGGGCTATGGAGAGACATAAATGTGTTCAGTGACCCAGGTCGTGTGGTCTTGGGGGACCAGGGGCCCTGCAGACAAGGCTGTGGCAAAGGGCAGGTGTGTGCAGATGCCAGGCTGGCAGCAGAGGCTGGCCAGCCTCGGGAACCGTGAAGGTTAGCGGGCCTTGGTGTCCATCTCTGTGATGTAGGAAGGCCCCGCTGCTGATGGGATCCCCCCACTGATCCCTAGTCCCAGCTCCAAGACAGGCTGGGGGAGGAAGTGGGTGCATGTCCCCACAAGGACTTCTCCCCAGTGTAAACCCATGACTCAGTTTTCTCAGCTGCAGGGAGCAGGGTAGTAGTTACTGCCAGTCAGCCCTGGCCTGGCCTTGGAGGGTCTGGGACAGGAAAACACAAGCAGAGAGGAACCACGTCTGTTGGGATGGGCAGTTTTCAGGGAAACAAGGGCCAAGCTCTGCTGGGAACCCACACCCACCCTTCCCCCAGCCTGGCGGGCAGCTGGAGCAGAACCATGCCACGGGGACAACAGACAGAGAGCCGAGGGGACAGACCCCGAGAGACGGCTGAGAAGAGATCCTGGGAGAGGGCTAAGGCGCGAGTTGACAACAGAGGTCTGTGGAGAGACTGCAAGAGGCTGGAAAAGGGAACGAGACCCAGTGGACACATGTGAGGACAGAGGCTTGCGGCCATCGGCATCCCAGCCCCTGTGCATGGGACCCCACCGACTTTCCCCCAGGAAGCTGAGCCGTCCCAGCTGAGGATTTATTGGCGTAAATGCAACCATATAAAAACATAAGTTATGAAAAACACAGTCACGATGTGCCCTCCCCCTCCCACCCCCCTTCCCAGACCCAGGCCCCTAAAACTCCCTTCTGAGGGAGAAAGGGGGAGCCCCGAAACCACCTAAGAACGCCACAGCCCCTGGGCCCGTGCAGGGCCGGCTCGGCTGGGGTGGGAGGACCCAGCGCCGCCTCAGCGCATCCGGTAGTCGGTGGAGCAGGACAGCTCGCACAGCTGGCCCTTGAAGTCCAGGTCAATGGTGAAGTCCAGGTCGCGCTGTGGGGAGAGGGTGGACGTGAGGGGGGACCAGCGACAGGGCTGGCAGAGACCCAGAACTGTCCGAGTCAGGAGGAGGCAGAGGGCTGAAGCATGCCTGCGAGGGCTTGGGACGCCATGCCCCACCCCACCTGCAGCTGTCTACACGCGCCCCCCCCGAGACCCAGTGGGTCCTGGTTTTAGCCCATGTCCAGGCTGGACACCCCACACTGGTAGTCCCAACCCCCGCATCTGCCCTGAACCCTACCTCCCAGTGACAGCTCACGTGACACTTGCAAACCCAGCCGGTCCCTTGAGGACAGACCTCAGCTGCCCCACCTCTGGCCTCATGACATTTCCCGACCCGGGACCATTCCCATCAGAAGTTACTTTTTCCTTCTTTTTTAAGTAGGTAACCCCTTTCCCAAGCACACTTCCTCCTCCCGAAAAACTGGACAGCAAAACTTGATGGTCCCGCCCCACTGTCCCCCACTTTCTTCCCTCCCAAGCACACCAGGGCTCCCCACAGAGGCCAGAGGCTCTGGGAAGTCACCGATGACCCATCCTTGAAATTCACCACAAGCTCCCACCTCCCTCCACAGCTGTCTTCATAGTTTGGGGTTTATCAACCTCCGCAACACTGACATTTGGGGTGCACCCCTCTTCATTAGGGGCCATTCTTTATTGTCTTATGTACCCCCCACCCTCTACTCGCTAGATGCCGGTAGCACCCCATCTCCAGTTGTTAACAACCAAAATGTCTCCAGTGGCTAATGTCCGCTAGGGGACAGCCAGCTTGTCCCTGGTTGAGATTCACAGCTTTAATGGGCTCTTATCTCCTTGATTTACAAAGTGGGAACAGCCTTGGGCCCCCGTCTCCACCCAGGCTACCTGAGCACCATCAGCCTCATTAACACTGGCTCGATGGCCCAGACTCCCCTCCCCAGCCACTGGCTACGCTTGGGGCAGCTCTGTCCTGCCAGGTGCCCTGGAGGCGCGGCCTTTGTTCCCTTGCCTGGCTCCCCAGCCTGGGGTAGGAAGCCCAGTGGCTCTCCCTCTGGTCCCCACCCACCTGGCCCCATGCCAGAGTGTCCTGTGTTTAGAACAGGAGCGCCAGGAGGGCAAGGGTTCAGCCTCATCGTGACTGGGTCCCCAGGGCCCCGCTTCCGGCAGGTGCTCAATGAAACTTCCGCAGACAGACCCTGAGAGCCCCCGACAGGCACGGGTGCCCCCCACCCCACCCGCGCCGCCCGCGCCTCACGTTGTTCTTGGCGTTGGGCCGCATGCCGATGGTGCCGAAGATCTCCTCGCCCGTCTTCACCGTCAGGTAGTCCTCCATGTAGAACACGGTCTGCTTCCAGTGCGTGTACGGGGACTCGGGGCCTGGGGCGGAGGCGGCTCAGCAGGGCCAGACCCCCGTCTCCGGCTCCACCCCCGCCCCCCAACCCGGTCTCGCCCGCCCTCTGTCTGGCGCCCCGATGACGGCTTACTGCGGGCGGTCGACCTGCCCGTGAACCCCCACGCCCCCGGCCAGCCCGAGAGGACCTATCTAGGTTTCGTGGGTGGGAAACCGGGTCCTCACCGTCCCCCCGTGCGCCCCCGGCCCCGCCCCCGAGCTCACTGGTGGAGAAGCCCGTCCTCTTGTGGCAGCGGGTGAACTCGATGTTGAAGTAGGCCACCAGCGCGTGCACGTAGTCGTTGCGCTTCACTTGCAGGCAGAAGGGGGAGGTGAAGGTCAGGTCCTCCACCTTCACGGTGTAGATGTCCACCTCCTGCGGGACAGGCCCCGTCAGCCCGCTCGGCAACATCCAGCCCAGTATTCCACCCCGAAGCCCGGGGAAAGGCAGGTTGGACTCCCCGTTCCCTCTCTCCTACGTCCCAACCTCAAAGCCACGGTGTACTCCTAGAACTACTACCCAGGGAGCCGCCCGGTCCACCTCTCCACGGCCGCACCCTTCCCCAGGCCTCCACTGCCTCCTCACTGGGGGCTCCGAGCTTCCGCCCTCTCCCCACGCCCCGCCCCTTCCTTGACACACGGCCAAGGTGAAAATTCTAAAGCAGCATCAGTCAGATCCTGTCCTGCCCCTGCTTAAAACCCTGACAGCTCCCGGAAGCACTCAGGACAAAAGCGGGGTTCTGACGCAGGCTGTGGAGGCTGGACTGGTCCCCGCCAAACTTCCTCCTCCACCAGCTTTTGCCCACCTCACGCATCCCAGCAAGATGTCACATACAGGACATGGGGGCAGAGGGCTTGCTCAGTAAATGCCAGTCATGGTATTCTTTGCTGGTGATAAACTCACTCCTGGCCTCACATTGGGTGTGTCCAGGGGAGTGAGCCCTGCCTGGGGGTCTCAGCTGCCTTCAGTGTGCCCTCTGGGACGTGTGCCCCTGAGACATGGCCACCTCCTGGCTTGCAGAGCTTTTTAACAGGTGAAGTGGCTTCTCCCGGCCTCCAGTATCACCTCTGGTTGACAGGTCGTGTTCCCAGGACCTCAGGCCAGCACTCTGGGCCCTGATGTCTCGCACGATGGGCCCAGTGTTGACCCTTCTTTGGTTCAAACCCTGGGGGCCACCTGGCCACACGCAGCTCCTCACCTTTATGAGGCAGGCATTGGTGACCAGCTGCTTGGGGTCCACCACGTCCACCAGGGGCTCCTTGATGGCCACGTCTTTGATGCAAGACATGTCAAAGCCGTACACGTTCTCCCACCCTGGGGAGGGGCAGAGAGGTGGGTGAGCACGGGCTGGCCCTGGGCAGAGCCCGCCGCGCCCCGCATTCCCGGGGCGCCCGCTCACAGTGGATCTTGTAGTCTTTGTACTGCCGGTCCTCGATGGCCGTCACGTACAGCGTGGCTCGGTCTGGGAAAATGAGGCCATCGGGCGCCTGCGGAGGGGTAGGGCAAAGGCATGGAGGCGGGGCGCCTTGGAGATGCTGCCCCCGAACCTTCCCTGTTAGGTCTCTTTATCCACCCCCTCTGCCCCACCTGGGCTCCTGCACTGGCCGCCCCATCCGCTCCCCACGCTCCACCCTGATCGCCACGGCTATGCCCATATGGCTGCCTGTCCCGAGAGGTAAGGCAAGGTCTCGCAAAGGTCCACGAGGCCCACGAAGACCTGCACAGGCCCCTCCAGGCCTCACCTCCAACTTTCCCTCCTGCGGACCTCCCAGACCCCCATTCCGCTCCAGCTCCCCCGCTGCCCAGCACGCAGTGGGCACACGCGTCCCAGGAGCTCGGCCGTGGCTGAAACCCTCTGCCCGACACGCCCTTCCCCTCGGATCTCATGCGACTGCTTCCCATCCTTCATTCGGTTCTGTCACCTCCCCTGGGAGCTCTGCTCTGAGAACCTGGGACCAGGGCCCCCCAGTCCCTCCCTATCCCTTCACCCTGCTGTGATTTCCTCCCGGCGCTAACTTCCTCCCGACACTGCAGCATCTCCTCGTCGGCGTCTAGCTCCCAAAGCCTGCTACACCCCACCGTGGCTGCGGGCCTTCCGGTACCTGCGCAGTCAACACTGTGTCAAGTCCCCCATGTGGCAATACCTAGCACGGCTTTGGTTTTCTGCCCGGACCCGGACTGATAAGTGCTCAACAAATGGCTGAAAGACCCCAGCCTGTCAGCCGCCTCCCTGCCAGGGCCTCACCAGCCACTTGTCTCGGGCATAGAGAACGGTGTTGAGCATCGACTCATAGAAGAGGCAGTAGCCCATCCACTCGCTGATGATGATGTCCACCTTCTCCACCGGAAGCTCCACCTCCTCCACCTTCCCCTTGATGATGGTCACCACTGTGGGGGCAGACAGGGGCGCATGCCACCAGCCCTGAAGACACCCAAACACCCACCTTCCCTGGGGACCCCACAGGGCAGCCCTTGTCCTCTAGGGAAGGGTTGGATGCTACATTTGGGCAGCTTCGAAGAACTCTGGGTGCTGAAGCCACGCCCTGTTCAGTCGGGCTTAAAATTCGTCACTCTAGATATTCTCGAGCAGCAGCGGCAATTTTACGTGGATTAGGTATTAGGTGACATTCTGGTGTTGCCACTAACAAAATGGTCATGTTTTTAAAATAGCCTTATCTATTAGAGACACACAGCAGAATTTACAGGGGACCCGATATCGCAGTTGGAATTCGCTTCCAACGGACATACCTAAAGCTGAGTAATGGGTGCTTGAGGGGTTCATTACACTAGTCTTTACAGTTCCTAAGTGCTAGAGCCCCGCGTCCGGAAATCCACCGCCTTCCCACATTTTCTGCCTCTCAAAACTTGCAGGGGGAACTCAAAGGCAATTTGGGAACATCGACTCGACCTAACGACACATCTGACCCACGCGGCCCTGCTCTCCTAAATGGACCTCACACATGTACTCGTTCGCATGTAAAATGACGTCATGTGCCGGGGGATGAAAACCTCAGAAGCAGCTCAACGCCTGCCACCGGCAGCCTGGTTGAGAAAGCTGGGGTGTTTGCACGTGGTGGGTCATCAGAGAGAAGAAGATCTTCTCAGCATCCTCTAATGTGCCCGACTACCCAAGAAGCAGATGGAAAATGCAAAGCGGAAAAACTTCCACAGAATGCTAGCTGCGTGTAAGCATAAACATATTTACGTGTGTGTGTGCTTGTAGGTGCAAACTTCGCAGGGAGTGTTGGTTGAACTCGAGAGAAAGATGGCCGAAGCGGATGGCAGACTTCTCATTGTGGGCCCTCAGGGGTCACCACGATGCTATTACTCACTGAGAAATCTAAAGACTGCTTCCTGCCCCGACGTTTAAGACTGAGGTGCAAAGCTTGCAACCTGGACACTGAAATTCCGAGGGGGCGGAACACACCCATGAGGCCGTGGGCACCGAGGTCGGACTCCCTGGCCGTCGCTGTTGTGGGCCGCAGAGCCCACAAAGGAGGAATTGCTGAGATGCATTTGGGGCCCCACCCCTTGCCCAGGGCCCCGGTGAGGCTATGACCACCCACTAAATCCCCACACCCCGTCTTCCTCCCGGGCTCACCATGGTCTAACTTGTTGGCTTTGACGATCTTCACCGCATAGTCAGAGATACTGGAACACTCGATCTGGGGGCCCAGGAAGAAGGAAGGCTGAGACCCCCAGTCCCACCCTCAGTCCCCACTGCCCTCCATCCAGTCTCTGAGCCCCAAAAGGCCCCTCCTTGTCCCAAGGCCCAGGCTGCCCAGGACACTCACCCCGATGACCTTCCGGGCCCCAGCCTTGGCAGCAAACATGCAGAGGATCCCCGTGCCCGAGCCCACGTCCAGCACCACCTTGTCCTTGAAGAGGTGCCGATTGTGAAACATGGAGTTGCGATACGTGAGGGTGCGCACCTCGTCTTTCAGCATCTCCTGGGGGGCGGGAGGGTGCAAAGGTACCGTGAGGGCGGCCTGCACGCCTAGCGGGAAAACAGGGTGCACTGGCCTCCGACACCCTGACGTTTTGGAGGGCGAGTGCTCAGCCTTCTCGCCCCCGCTTGCTTAATCCCCTTGGAACAAGTTATGCCCCTTCCGTGTACCTCAGTTTCCGTGTTTGTAAAATCAAACACGGATGGACTAAACTCCCACCTTCACCAGATTCTACTATTGCCTCCTAAGTCCCAGTGAGCCTCGGCTTTAAAAAGTCCTCAGTAACTTAATGCCACTGACCTGTACACTTAAAAATCGTAAGTTTTGTTATGCAAAAATTGTAAATTTACGAAAAAAGAGGCATCGGCTGAAAAAAAAAAAAAAAGAAAGAAAAAAATCCTCGAAAGGCAAAAATCGTAAATTTAAGAAAAAAGAGGCATCCACTGGAAAAAAAAAAAAAAGAAAGAAAGAAAAAAAATCCTCCGAACCCCATCCCAGCTGCTTTCTGGGATCTCCGCCTCCAGTCCTTAGGAGTTGAGAAACCATCTGCACACCAGGCACGAGCAACTGGGAGACGATCCCACCGCCGGCCACTAGAGGGCGGCAGAGACCGGCTGGCCTTGACCTCCAGCTGCAGTCTGAGCCACGCATGCGCGCTCCCACCCTTGCCTCCCAAGAGCTTCCCGTAGAGTACCAGGCTAACCTCAGTCTCCAAGGCAACGGGTAGACGAGGCGACCCCCGGGGTGAGCGCCTCGCATGCGCAGAGAAGCGGCCCGCTGCCAGGAAAGGCAGTGCGCACGCGTGGGAAATTAAGTTGCAGCCCTCCCAAACACGAACCCCTCAAGATTTAGCAGCCGTAGGAGCTGTCCACACTCACCTCGTGGATCCCGAAGTGAGCGTAGGAGTCAAAGTAGTAATCTTTGGACGTCATGTCCTCAGCGTTGGGCTTCTCGCTGCTTTCTGCCTGGCCACAGGAGACCTGGGAGGGAGCGGATGGGAGCATGGGTCAAATCTGGGGGCTCCCTAGGGCCTCTTAAGCCTCCAGATCCCTATTTCTCCCTGGAGTAACCCCCCAAAATCGTACCATGGCAACCTTACAGCCCCCACCTGCCATCTTGCCTCCCCCAGAACCCCAAAACCTAAAATCCCATTTTCCTTTTGCAGGACCCCCCCAGAGCACCATCCAGGGGAGCACCCCGATACCTCAGCCACGCCTACCATCTCTCCAGTCTCTCTGCCCCCGTCTCTAGCTCAGCCCACAGCTGGGGAAGGGAGGGGAAGACAGAACTGGGGCAGACACAGGGAAGGGCAGAGGGGGGCTGGAAATGGAGTTAAGGAAGCAGCCATAATATTGGGGGAGGCCAGATGGGGGCCACAAACCTGGAGGGAGTTTGTACTAAGTGTTTCGGGGGCACGGAGTAAACTGGTTTGAAGCAAGAGGGATCAAGGTTAGACCGCTAGAAAGGGCCTGACGTGTGGCAAGATAGCTTAATGTGGGAAAGTGTCTCACAAAAGGATATTTACTTCTTCAAGAGGCGGCTGGAGGCTCATCCCATTAGCCAAGGTGGCTACAAAATTCTAGGAGAGAGTAACAGGGAGAAAGGATTAGCTACTGGGAGTGGCTAGGGGCAGGCCAGGCCAGGCCAGGGGACCCTGGCCCTCGGGGAAAGGGAGATGTTTTCTACAGTTTTCCTTTTCCTTGGTGGAGAGTGATGGCAGAGGGAGCAAGTGATGAGGTGGGGTTGTTTCCAAAAGGGATGGGACAGTGGGGAGAGAAGAGAGGGGGTTCTGTCTCAGCTGTGGCTGGAGAGATGGCGGACCGCTCCCATGTTGCCCCTTTCTGGCCAGACACCTGACCATACGCACCTCCCCCACCCAGCCCAGAGAGACTGGCACCCGCTGGGCACACGGGCACTGCCAGCTGTCGCTCCCCCTCATCATCTAATCCCCCCAGATTAGGTGACGCTTCCTGACACACACCCCCATGCTGGGATGCCAGGAGTAGCTGGAGGAGGGGGGCTGGCAGGGTGTGCCCACTGGGCATCTGCCACTTCTGCAGACCAATCTCTCGTCTGAGAGGATTCCAGAAAGGAGGTGTGGCACACAGGCACCCCACCGGAGCTGGCACCCTGACCCCTAGCTCCGGCCTTGGGCTCAGGAAGCTCCAAATAAAACCAGCTGGAGACAATCTCCTTGCTCATTACGCTCTTGCTGAGACAGAGCCCCTGGGAAGAGGCCAGGCTCTGAGCCCTGGAGTCCCTGTCTCCCCATGCAGACACCCATCTCATGCCCGGAAGGCCCCCGGTGTGGGGCCAGGTCCTCAGACAACCTCTGGGAAAAATACTTCCTCTACCCACACAGGGCCTGGTCTAGGACAGAGCCCAGGGGGATGGGAGTCATTGGAGTGACCCTGGGGAGCTGACCTCCACTCCACAAAAGGGAAGGGGTGGGAGTACCCAGGCCCCGTCACATTACATCTCTTCCCAGATGTGGCCACCCTCCAGGCTCCAAGTGTGAAGTCAGGGACATGACCCACGGGGCTGCAAGCCCCACCGCATTCTCCCAAGCCAGTGAGAATGCCTACAAAGAAGGGCAAGGGGATTTCCCACGGGGGCCCATTTCTCAATACCACCGACACTACCGCAGACAAGGCCCAACGGGCTCGAAACAGCAGCCCCAACCTAGCGCACATGGCTGCACAAGAACCACACTCTCGGGAAACCGTTTCAGGGATAAAGGTTCGGCACCCTCAAACGGGCCTTCAGGAAGGGGGAGGTCACCTCCCACCTTCACAAACGCCCGGGTGAAAGGTTTCATCACAGCCCCTTCCCAGCAAAAGGGCTCCCCCCACCTCCCGCCACGCTTAGCCGAGGTCGGGGCGGGGGGGTGGGTTCCAACGGGACGGTGGGCTTTGAGACACGCCCCATGAAAAAGATGTCCCTCCCACACACCCAGAAATGGCCACAAGGGGGTGCGCGGCGCCTTATCGAGAAGAATCTCCTTCAAGCTAGAGGCCCCACCACCACCCAGAGGGAGGTCACAGGGGCAATACCCCAAACCCCCGTTCCCAAAGCCCAGGGCGGGGGAGAATCTAAGAACAAGAAACGGCAGAAGGCGGGGGAGTGGGGTGGGATGAGGACCGAAGGGAACAAATTCATCTTCCTCCAATCTCAACCCAAAAGTGCATGAAACCTGGACCGATGCCTAAGCAGATGCCCCTGTCCCCAGAAGGGGCTTTTATTAGGACTGAGATACACCGCCCCACGCAACACACTCTACTTCGCGGAGGTTCCCAAATAAGTCCCACCCGGAGGTGTACGTCGCCATCCCCTGGGAGGAAGGCTGGGGGCCTCCGAAGGAGGGTCGGAGTCTCCTCCCCGCCCCCCCGGCGCGCCCCTCCCCCGGTCGGGGGCGGGGCCTTTGTCCCGCACGTGGAGCCCGCCAGGCCACCGGGCACGGCACACCCCCTCCCCACCCACCGCGCCCCAGCCACGTGGGGGCCAGGCCGGAAGCGCCCCCAGCCCTCCTCCACGTGGGAGGGGGCACGAGCTCATCGGCTCAGCGGGATACCGCAAGCCCCCGAAGGCAGAGAATCCGCACATCAAACGGTATCCCCGGATCTGGAGCATGCGGCCTCCCCTCGGTATGGCTGGCGGTCTTTAGCCCCAATCCGGCGACTCGGAGCCCCTTCCCCACGACGGAGCCATAAAACACCGACCCTCAAACCGACCCCCTCCCCCAGCGGCGTTCCAGACGCTCACCTCCATGATGCAGTTCGCGGCCTCGGCTGCCGCCATCTTCACCCGCACCTACTCCTCCAGCCGCCGAGACCCCCCCTTCCCCGCACTCCCCCGGGACCGCCTTATACCGGAGGGTCCACGGCCCGCCCTCCGCGACCGTGCCAGGAGATCTTATTGGCAACGGAGGCGGCCCGTCTGGGAATACCGTTTAGCAATTGGGCCAATTGGACGCCCATCAAAGCCCAGGGACCCGCCCAGTCCAGCGTGCGGAGCCCCGCCCCCTTAAGTCGACAGGGATGGGAAAGACTGCCCGTCCATCGCAAGAACTGTGACTGGTGATTGGGCAAAGTCCAGCAGGAGTTCCCGCCCCTTCACCCCAGCACCTCCTCAAAGCTTCCCGGCAGTCCCCGCGCTAGCGGACATTTTGAAATAGATCTGTCCATCACCAAAACGACCCGCCCCTTGACAGCCGCTACTGGTTTAGCCGGAATGTGACGTCACGAAGCCTTCGGCGAGCCTTCTCCAAGTTGCTGGTCTCAAGAACACCGCGATTGGCCCACGAGAAGGGCGGAAGCAGGCCTCTAGGCGCCAGCGATTGGCAAAAGTAGCTGTAACTCATTGTCCTGTCGGGTGGATTCTCCCAGCCCGAGGGGCGTCCAGGGGGAACAAGGGGGGGATTGTTCTCGTTTACCTGAAGGAAAAACTGAAGCAACGACAGGCTCAAAGAGAGGGTGGGCTTGCCCGGGGGTCCCCGAACCCAGTCGGGAAGAGGACTCAGGTGACAAGGAGTTTAAACTGTAGCCCTCTACTTAACTGTTGCAAGTTTTCGAAACCCAGAGACCACTCAAACCGCTTGGCCTTTGCCAAGTCCAGCCCACCCACCTCCAGAAACACCTCCTTTGTCTGCCGACTCCTGGACGTCAGCTCGGGCACTGCTCAGGCACCACCTCGTCCACGGAGCTTTCCTCGATCTGCAGAAAACGTTACCAATTGAATGAAGATGAATACAACTGGTAGAATATACCCATCGCCCTCAGAAAGTTCCTTCATGACCCCTTCCAGTGAACACCTCTCTCATCCAACCCCTGAAGCAATCACTTTGTTTTCTGTCACTATCGTGTAGCTTTTCCCTTGCTAGTTTCCTATGAATGGAATTATACAGCATGTGCTCTCGTGTGTCGATCTTTCGCTCAGCACAATGCTTGAGATTCTTCCAAGTTGTTGCATATAACGGTTTGCAATGCTTTTTATTGCTGATGGGTATTTCACTGTATAGATGTATCAGTTTATCCGTTTTCCTGTTGATAGACATGTTTCCAGGACGAGGCTATTACGAATAACGTGGCTATGAACTTTCACGTACAAGTCTTTCTACCCACGGACACTTTCATTTCTCTTGGATAAACCTAGGAGCAGATGTCTGGGTCATATGCTAGATGTATGTTTCGCTTTAGAAGAAATTGCCAGAAAGTTTTCCAGTGTGTTCCACCACTTTGCATTCCCATCAATGATGCATGAACAGTTCTAGTTGCTCGACATCCTGGCCATCACTTGCTAAGATGTCTTTAGTTTCACCAGTTTGGTGAGTATGAAGAGCTATGTCATGGTTGTCATTTGCCTTGCTCTGACCACTAATGTTGACCATCTCTTCATGTACTTATTGGCCATTTGTATATCTTCTTTTATCAGGTGTGTGGGTCAAGTCTTTTGCCTATTTTTACAAACGATGTTGTTTTCTTATTCACAAATAGTAAATGTTCTTTATAGATTCTGGATACAGGTCTTTGTCAGTTATAGCTACCTTGAATATTTTCTCCCAATCCATGATCTATCTTTTCATTTTCTTAATGTTGTCTTTTTAAGAGCAGAAACTTAAAAATTGGATGAAGTCCGATTAAATATCAGAGCCCGTATCTGTATGTTATCCAACATACAGCCCCTACGCTGTATGTTGTATGGGTTTTAAAACAGTTTTTTGTTCGTTTTGTTTTCGTTTTTGCTGTTTTCCCAAACGTTTCAGCAAGGTTTTTTTATTCCTTTTTTTTTTTTATGCCCAAGAACTATATTTTGACCTGATCAATTCAATTACTTTTCCTCCGTACTGCTACTAAGAACAAAAACTATCTTGAAAAAATATAACAAACAATTTCTGCAACACTAGGGAAGAACCTAATGTCACTGAAAAGGAGATGGCACTGGACAGGGGATACATGGGTATCGAGTTCAGGGGAGAAGTCTGAGCTGGAGTCAGAAATGGGGGAGTCGTCAGCATCAAATTCTGCATTTCCCAAGTGGCAGACACTCACCACATAGGGCGACTGAGTCATGGGCCGTGGCAAGTCTGAACTAAGATGTGTTGTGAGCGTAAAACATACGCTGGATTTTGAAGACTTCACATAAAAAGAATCAGTAACATCTCATTAATATTTTTAATATTGAACACATGTTGTCTACGGCCATGCCACCCTGAACAAGCCCGATCCTGTCTGATCTCGGAAGCTAAGCAGGGTCGGGCCTGGTTAGTACTTGGATGGGAGACCACCTAGGAAGACCAGGTGCCGTAGGCATTAAAAAATAAATAAAAATTGAACACACGTTGAAATGATTCTATTTTGGATAAATGGGGCTAATAAAAGATTATTATTAAAATTAACTGACATATTTCTTTCTACTTTGCTTTAACGGGGCAACTAGTGCATTCTAAATACCATACATGGTTCATATATCCTATTTCTGTTGGCTGGTGTTACATTAGGTCACAAGCCACAGAACGGACAAGATCACTAAGGAGTTGGCATGACTCGCACTGTGATTGGAAGCACGCAACTTGAAACTAATTTAAATAAATAAATTTTTAAAATTTAAAACAGTTTTAAAAAGCGGCACACAGAAATCTAGCCCTTGTTCTTGACTTAGATCAAAGTGAAATGAGCTAGGATGGTAGAAAATTAATCTCTCACTACACTGGAACTTGGTCCTTCTTTCAATTAAGAATTTGGCAGCACATCAAAGATCCTAGGATTAGCTTCTGTGGTCTGGTCCCCAACATAAGTCACAGATGCTTGCATGTCACATGATGGTTTCTACAGACAGGCACATGGTAGGCAGAATTCTAAGGTGGCCCTTACGATTTTGGCCCCCCTAGTGTTATATACCAAACAGTGCATTGGGTTATATGACAAAGGAGATGAATATCACACCCTTGATTAAGTTACCTTATGTGGCAAGGGTGAATTGATTTTGCAGATATCATTAAGGCCCCTATCATTTAACTTTAAAATAAATCAGAAGGGAGATTTTTCTATCTGGGCCTGATTTAATCAGATGGGAGCCCCCTTTAAAGGAACTGAGGTCTTCTCAAAGGCCACAGTGACTCCCCTGCTGGCCCACCACCGTGAGTCCCATGGGTACGAGGACAGGAATTCTGCCGACAAACTCAAGAGCTGGAAGCTGAGAGCCTGACTGCACTCTGAACGGAGCACCCCGCTAAGCTGCGCCCACATCTCTGCTCCACAGAAACCGTGGTTAATAAATGTGCATCGCGAGCCGCTACAATGGTGTGATTTGTTACCCAGCGAAACGGCAAGAACTAATACATCTGAGAGAGTCCTTCCTGCTCTGCTTAGAAATGTGGACATTAGACCCATTCTAGGTCTTTCTACTGTTAATGTAGAGGCACACCTATTACTATGCCACTCATTTTTTATATTCATGTTCAAAACCTTATTTCAACATACAGTCAGTTCTTATTAATCTTGGTAGCTATGTTCTCTAAGGTCACTGCACACACTGACCTAGCAAATACTGAGCCATTGTTCCTGGTGAAATAAGGGCTCAGGTTTCTGTGAGTCTCGTTACAACACTTTTGTCAACCCATCGATACATCACCTTATTTTGTGTGTTTCTGTTTAAAGGCACCTTATTTAATATACATTGTTGAATCACGTGCAATGGAGTCACAGCCAAGAGCACAATAACTCATGCCTGAATGAAGCTTATCCAACCGGGAAACAAGACAGCCTTCCTGCACTTAGGGACAGTGGACAGCAATTTGGTGCTATGCTCAAGGCCTTTCCAACAGCAAAATCGCTACGAAAAGCACAGAAAGCAGAAAAATAGAGCGCTAAATAGACTGTGGACAGGACACGTTGACGGTATGAGAGCCAAAGCGAGAAGGCACAGTGCCACCGTCTTGGTCAACCTCAGCCGAGAAGTCGCGCATCGGGTGAGTCCAATCTTTTGCTGCTCTGCCCACATGCATGGCCACGAGGACCACGAAAATTCCGTGGGTAATAATCTGGGGATTACCCAGAAATTTTGGTGCATGTGCAAATTTGCCAATCCGGAACCTGCGTATAACGAAGACCAGCTGTAATTGGTTTCCCTCGTAATCCTGTACGTTTCATCGTGTGTATTTACAAACATAACTCTGCGAAAGGGGCTATCGCCTTAAAAGGTGACGCGCCCCAAGTCTACAGGTAGATGAGGAGGAAGCAGCAAGAAAGGTTCAGAAGGAGCAGTGGGAGCAGATAAAGGAGAAGAGAGTTGTGTGCTGGATGCCCCAAGAAGGAAGATTATAGCTTTCTTCTAGAATCAGCCGGAAAGTCTCTGTAAACATCAACACAGGGTTAGCTGGAAGAATTAAACCATGCAATAAAAAGGGAAAATATAATTAGCTGGAATCATATTTACAGATATCCTTAAATATGCTGTATGTTCAGGTGACAAGGACTCATCAGTGCTCCAAATCGATGCTTCTAGAATGAACTGGCTCTTTCCTCAATTTATAAATTGGAGAGATCTTTTAATCACACTTCTCCTACTTAGAACATTAGTTCCCAAGTTAAAGTACAAACAACTAAACACTTGAAAAAGTTTTTAATATAAAAGTGTTTAAACAATTGTTTTTTTGGCAAAACCAGGGAGGGTGGCCACCACCCCACAGCCCTGAGTAGAATGGGAAGGCTTGGGAGGCACACGAAAAGCTCGAGGACCTGAGTTCCAGTCTCATAGCACCTTCTGAGAAGGATGTCAGTCCAGGGGCAAGTTCAAGTCCACGGGTGAAGAGGCCAGGATGCCCTCCTGGAGGAATAAGTGGCAGAGCGTCATGAGTGGAGGCATCTTCCAATTACAGCTGCACCCACGGCAGCCCAGTGAGAGCAGGGACGGGGCATGCAAAGTACCAGAGAGGGGAGACAGAGACCCGGGGGTGGGCGGGGACAGAGTCCCAGCAAGAGGGAGGTGGAGAGCTGGGGTTTAAGAGCCCTGGCTTCATGTCAAAGAGCTGATTCTAATCCCCTGCACAAGAAACGTTCCCTCTCTGCCTCCATAAAACTGGCATCATAACCAAATCCCATAGGTTGCTGTGGGCTTAAATGAGATCATCCCGCTGAAGTCCTTGGCGAGCTCCCCGCCAAGCGTACCTGTTATCAGTCCTTCAATGAAATAATCTCACAATTCGACAAGCTTCTGGGCTGAACTCCAGGTTCTTTCATCCGCTGTGACCTCAACACCTTGCTGTGAGGTCTAAAGGGTCTCTCTTGCTTAACTTGACCACCTGCAATCATCTCTGACTCTTCCGCAAACCAGCATTCCCGCCCCTGCCCTGCACCCAGATCTTCTCCATCTCAGGGGACATCGGATGTAGCCCCGCAGTTGCCCAGGCCAGCATCCTCGACTTCTGTCTGCCACTCAGACCTCGCATGCACTCCATTAGCAAAATCTGTCATCTCTACCTCCGAATGAAATCCAGAATCCTCCAGTACCCCCACACTGGTCTGAGCCTCCCTCATCTCCAGGCTGGACTCGTGGTCACACCCTCCCAACTCTCTACTCCGCCCTCTCGCCCTACAGTGTTCCCCAGGCCGCCGCCAGAGGGCGCGTTAACACCTAAGTCTCCTCTTGCCCCTCACCTGCTCAGAGCCCTCTAGGGATTCTGGGCTTACTCAAAGTCCCAGCATGACCTCTTGCTCTCGCTATCACCTCTCCCCCTTGCTCACCCCGCCCCAGCCCTAACGGCCCCTCCTCCTCCCCGCTCCTCAAACTCACCTGGCCAGACCCTGCCACTCTGTGAAGCAGTGGTTACATTCTGAGGGCCTGGCAGGTGTCTTTCTCTGACTGCATCCCCAAGCAACGAGGCAAGCGAGTGATGGTGCCCACTGGGCGGGGACAGACAGGTGCTCAGGGAGATGGGGCAGCTGCCAAGGTCGCACAGCCAGCACACGGGAGCCCAGTCCAGCTCTGAGCCTGGCACTGGGCTGAACGCAGTGAGCAAGCAAGGTAAGACTCCTTGGCCTTTTGAAGCTGATGTGTCAGGAGCGGAATAAGGAAAAGAAAATAAGTAAAAGCAGTCATTTCTACCATCTGTTTGAAGGTGCGGAGCGCTGCAGAAAGGAATAAAGCAGCGAAAATGGAAGGGGAGTGGGTGGGGAGGTGCGGAGGTGGCTGCGGTTCTAAGTGGGGGCGGGGAAGACCTCACTGGGGGGAGTACCCGAGCAGAGCAGGGGAGCATTAGAGGTGAGGCAGGGGACTCCGGGGGAGGGCATCCCGCCAGGCAGCGTTGCCCAGGCAGACAGCCACTGGATAATACACAGCCGAATGCCCGCAGAGCACTAAGTACTTGCAAGGATGATCCCATTTAATCCTCACAATAACCCACTGATCATCGTGGTGCCTGGTGTACAGTAGGTGCTCAGTACCTAGGGAACAGGTGAATGAATGGTGGGGCTGGAGAACACCTGTGACGTCTTAAGGGAACTGAAGAACACCCCCCCACACACACACACACATGCACAGTTACGATTAAGTAAAGAGGGGCCCAGACAGGCTCTGGTGGCTCACCCAGCCCCCGTGGGCCCGGATCCAGGGCGTGAAGCTGTGCACGTGCTCCACGCTGAGTCCGGCTAGGGTGCCCCCCAGCCGGGCCACGCGTCTGCTCAGCTCCATGGCCAGGGCCAGGCGGGCCAGGGGCTCCGGGGAGGGCGGCGGGGGCCCGGGGCACGGCAACGACGGGCGTGCGCGGCTGGGGCGAGGGCTGTGCTCCCGGCTGGAGAACAGCTCCACCAGGCGGGCGAAGGAGCCGGCCGACAGGCGCGCCAGCTGGCGGCGGAGGGCAGGGTCCGAGGCCAGCTGTGAGGTGGGGAGGGGAAGAAGCCGGGTCCGCCTCAGAAGAGGAGGCTTGAAGGCGTGGCTTTCTGGGTCAAGGGAGTTCTAGAGACTAACTCTAAGCCACACCCCTATCCATCACATCAGCCAATCATAACCCAGGTTGGTCCCTGCCTAACTACTCCCAGGAGTGGGGAGGCCTAGAACCCGAGAAGCTAAGCCACGCCCTGCGGAGGCCTCCACAGCCAATGAGGGACGAGCCTTTAAGTTCTAGAACGTTAATCTAGCCACACCCCACGCACGGTTCCCTGACAGCCCCGGAGGCCAGGCCAGTGTCTATGACAACCTCGCCTTCCACCATACAATTAATATTACAGGACCATACACTTTGCCAAGTTCCTGAACCTATCGTATTCCAGGACAGAGGCACACACCACACCTCCGCGGTCCACTGCCCCCACATTCTCCTCCGTGCGCCTAGAGTCAAACAGGGCTTCAGATTACACAGCCTTCTCCAAAGCACCCCCGCCCCGCGACCGCCACATATTCCCTTCTGTCCTCGACTGGTCCCAATTTCTTTCCTAGGTCATGGTGATGGCCACACTCCCTGCCTTAAACCAGGCCCCTTGAACGAGTGACGAAAGCCTCTCATTTAAAGTACTGCCATGCCCTGGCATACCTGTCACTCAACCCTTTATGCAAGCCCTGTCCCACCCTTGCCCCACCTGACCATCCAATGAGAATGCAGATCCAGCTTCCGATGCCAGTGCCCAACCAGCCAGCAGTTCCTATCTTAGTTAAGGGATGGAGCAGACCGACCATCACCTTCTGGTTGATGTCTTCTGCCTCCTCCTCCAGCAAGGCCACCAGCCTCCGCAGCAGGGCTTCCTTCTCTGTGGGTGGGGGACCTTGTAACTCTGGGGGACAGAAGAGAATTTGGCTGAGTGCAGAACCCTGGGGACCCTTCTACCTTCACCCTTCTCTGGGGCCCCTCGGCACCTCACCTGGGCTAGGTGGGGATCGCAGTTGCTCCTGAACCAGCTGTTCCAGCCGCTGGGCCACCAGGGCATAGAAGTCTGGAGTAGCTGGGCCTGGGGTGAAAAGAGCCAGTGTCAGGTCTCCGGGACATCAGGAAGTTATGGGTCTCTCCTCCCAACCACCTCGCCAGGTAGCAACAACGATTTCCGTGTCATGACGGGGACAAGTAAGGCCCGGGGAGCACACTTGGCAAAAGACCCTTGTACTTTTTCCACTTTATCGTGTCCCCTGAACTGGACTTAGAATGTTAGAGCTGAACGGGACCTTGAAGGTTATCCCATCCGAGGAAGGCGAACACGTAGCAGTCCACCTCGCCCATTTCCGGAATCATCGACCGATCACAGAATTCTCCTCTCCAGCTCGGCAGTCCTTTGCAAACTAGCACTTCCCAGTAGCCATGACTAGTCTATCCAGGCTCACATATGAGAGGAAAGCTGTGGGTCACTCTTGATCAAGTCCAATGACTCCCACCCCTGCCTCCCCCATGCCTGTTTTGTCATTGGAGAAACTGTAGGCGCACGGGAAGAAAAGGATTTACTGAGTCATGTAATCAAATGACCAGGGAGTTGTGATTGAAAGCCAGGTCTCCTATCTCCCTCTTGGGGGTACTGGTGGGTACAAAAATCTGACGGGCAGATAAGGAGAGAGATAACAAATAGAAAGGGACCAACAACCCTCTGGAAGCCGGCTCACAAAATGGACAGACAGCAATTTAACTGGGATTGGCGGGGGCGGGGGGATAGAATGGTGAGGGGAAGTGCTGAAGATGCCACACAGCTACCTACCCCCTTAGCTGAGTGAACCTGAACGAGGTCCTTATCCTGTCTGTACTTTAGGAACCAAAGCTCCTGGCCCTGCCAGCTCACCAGTCATCTAGGAAAATCTCTTACCAGGCTCTGAACCATAGCAGGGCTGGAGGGGCAGGGAGCAAGGCCGGGGGGACTCGGGGGGAACAGCTCCTTGCCCCAGGGAGCAGGGAAGACATCTGCGAAGGCGGCTCAGGAAGTCTGTCGGCTCCTCCTGGGCAGGGTTCCTGGGGAAGGGGAACTCAGAGTGACCGCAGAAATCTCCTGCAAGCAGTCCCTTTTTTCTCCCACTGAGGACCTCTCCCTGCAACCCCAGGGACAAGAAACAGAGCCAGATAGGACGAGAGGGGAAAGGAGAAAGACTGAGACCAGGAGCAAGTGTTGGAGAGCCCACCCCACAGGCAGGCCCCCGAGGGCTGAGGGCACCTCCTCCTACCTGGGTGGGATCGGAATGGGGGACCTGGCAGTGTCGCCCCGACTAAGGAAGGCAGCTAGGACCTTCAGCGTGTC